GTTATCTTTTGCTTTTGTCTGGTTGAATTTTCTGAAATGTCGTGATGCTTGTTCTTTCTAAGTTAGATTGTTACAAGCCTTCGGATTTTGTGATCGGATGTTTTGTTAAAATGGTTTCTTTTGCATATGTATTGTTGAATTTTCTGAAATCTTCTGATACTTTTTCTTTCTAAGTTAAATTGTTATGGGAAATAAAACTCCACCTAGGAGGAAAAAAATGCTAATATATTGTGAGGAGGCATATGGTTTGGAAACCCAATAAGCTCCTTAAAGATACTGAGAGAGAGTAGGGGACTTGCACCCCTGCCCCAGGGAGGGGGGTGTTTGAGACTAAATAAGTTAAACCAGGATGTACTTTGGCTCTTTGCTAGATATTTAGCCATAGGACCTATATAGTGGACCAAGCTGAAGAACTAGACAGAGTTGAACATGAAGAATATCTTCTTCTGAAAAATTANATGTACTTTGGCTCTTTGCTAGATATTTAGCCATAGGACCTATATAGTGGACCAAGTTGAAGAGCTAGACAGAGTTGAACATGAAGAATATCTTCTTCTGAAAAATTAGAATTGTTTGGGGAATAATGTTCACTTCCCTATTGCTATCCCATTTAATTGCATTTTTACGACGACTTCCTTTAAAGCGAATGTGCACAGCCGTCTACATAATACTTGGTTTGGTGGAACACCGAAAATAAATCCCAGACTTCTGTAAATGATTATTTTGTTGAAATCATGGAACTTCTATCTTTTCGCATTTTGTGAGGCAGATTTTGGGTAGAACTAGAGGAATGCTGCAAATGATGGTGCTTTCTCCCCTTATACTACCTCAATTAATTGGGCTAGTAGTTAGAATGCGCTTATTTTCATTACGGATTCCCTTTTCAATCATGATTTGATTTGTGTAGTTTCAGTTTTCGTGAATTGTTTGCAATGACACATTTTTTCCTCACAGACCATCTAAGGAAGATCAACCAGTGTCATTTCGCACTGCAACTGCAAAGGTATATCTATAGCTATCCATTAGTGTCCTTTGTTGGTTAAAAGGTTTACCTTTTTTGTTAATGATACCACCTTTTGTGTTTCAGTCAGTGTATCAATGGATCGTCAAGCCCCAAACTGTTATGAAGACAAATGAAATGTTCCTTCCTGGGCGGATGGCTTTCATCTTTAACATGGTAAGTTTCTTTGTTTCTCTGTGTTTATATCCCTAATGGAATTTCTTGACTATCGGGTTCTTCTTCACTCGCACTTTGCTTTCTCCTTCCCTTCCTCTAACAACTCTTCCAAAGATCGAATCTTGTTATATGATTTTCCAGTCTGCAAAAAANATATATTTTAAATAGAAGGATGAGAGACCTTTTTTAGAGCAAAGAGATAGCAAAAACAACATTAGACATCAAAACTAAATCAAATTAAGCCTTATGCTCCAATCATTTGGGGTCGGTTATATGAGTCCGTCTTCGCCATTCATGCGCTATAAGTTTATTTAAATTAAATATTTTCATATATTTTTTTGTTATTCGTTCAATGTTAATTTAGTTCTACCCCTACTTCTAGTACCATTAAGAGAAATTTTATCACTTTTTTGAACCGGTGCCTCTATCGGCCTATGTTGAATATGACTAAACTATGTTAATCTATTCTCTCTTAATTTATTATCAATTTGAGCTACTTATACCATTTTTTTAATACGGTCTTTTCGTATTCTATCATTTCTAATTTTTCTATAAATCCATCTTAAAATTATTATTTTTGTTACACTCATTTTGTCACTATGTTATTTTTTAATTGCCTAACATTCTATTCCATACAATATTGTTGTCCTTATAGTTGTGCGATAAAACTTATCTTTCAATCTTATTGGTATCCTTCTATCACATAATATACTATAGTCTTTCATCCACTTAAGCCAACCGACGTTGATTGTTTGAGTTACATCAGCTCCAATTTCTCCATCATTTTTAATATTGATTGTAGATATATAAGTCGTTTACTCGTTAGGATATCTTAATTTTCAATCTTAATTTTTTCACTATGTCTATTTCTTCTATTACTAAAATTGCATTACATATATTCTATTACTGACTTTCCAATGTTAATGAAACCTGCTATTGCCTAGAATGTTGATTGTTGTGATCCCTATACACAAATATAGATATGAGATATGGATACGATATGATATGAACACAAAATACGACAAAATTTACGAAAAATAGAATACAAGTATAGCCAGTATACACATATAATACTTTGATTTTTGAAATTTACTATTTTCTGATGAATTTTCTACAGAACCAACATTTAATTGGCTTATTTGCTTAGAAATAGTAGTTGCTAAAAGAAAGGATGTAATCAACCCACATTATGTCTTTTTAACATGTGGTAGTAAATAATACTTAGAAATAAATATATGTCTTCAAAGACATGGATTTTTTTTTTTTTGGTATCATTATGTGATTAAAATTATGAATTATGCATATTGCTCTACATATTCACTTCCATATCCGAAGCATATTCTTGGATGCTAATATCCATGACGAATTCGAAAGTAAAGAATTTTTTTTTATCAATTATTGGATAAGTACATTGCGTATCCAATGCATCTTCTCGAATAACTGACAAGGATTATATCGGAATGCAGATAGTTCAACCGAAATGACATATCCATGCTTTTCATAGCTTTTGATATTTGACCGAGAAATGGAAATAATAATTAGTGGGTGTTTCTCTCCATTAAGCTCTAAACCTTCTCCTTGGTTTTTGGCTTGATTTTTGTAATTCAGGTGATGTTGAACACACACATTTGGTTAAGGGCCTGGATTATGCTTTGCTTCACAAAGTGAGAAGTGAAATAGACAAGAAGCCAGATGTTGGAGAAGATGCTGATGGAAAGTCTAGGCAAGTGAATTGTTACCATTTAATACTAGGGGGACCTTCTCTTTAAGCTTTGTGTGTTATTTTGTAGTTCACTAATGTTTAGTTTAAAATGGTTATCTTTTGCTTTTGTCTGGTTGAATTTTCTGAAATGTCGTGATGCTTTTTCTTTCTAAGTTAGATTGTTACAAGCCTTCGGATTTTGTGATCGGATGTTTTGTTAAAATGGTTTCTTTTGCATATGTATTGTTGAATTTTCTGAAATCTTCTGATACTTTTTCTTTCTAAGTTAAATTGTTATGGGAAATAAAACTCCACCTAGGAGGAAAAAAATGCTAATATATTGTGAGGAGGCATATGGTTTGGAAACCCAATAAGCTCCTTAAAGATACTGAGAGAGAGTAGGGGACCTGCACCCCTGCCCCAGGGAAGGGGGTGTTTGAGACTAAATAAGTTAAACCAGGATGTACTTTGGCTCTTTGCTAGATATTTAGCCATAGGACCTATATAGTGGACCAAGCTGAAGAACTAGACAGAGTTGAACATGAAGAATATCTTCTTCTGAAAAATTAGAATTGTTTGGGGAATAATGTTCACTTCCCTATTGCTATCCCATTTAATTGCATTTTTACGACGACTTCCTTTAAAGCGAATGTGCACAGCCGTCTACATAATACTTGGTTTGGTGGAACACCGAAAATAAATCCCAGACTTCTGTAAATGATTATTTTGTTGAAATCATGGAACTTCTATCTTTTCGCATTTTGTGAGGCAGATTTTGGGTAGAACTAGAGGAATGCTGCAAATGATGGTGCTTTCTCCCCTTATACTACCTCAATTAATTGGGCTAGTAGTTAGAATGCGCTTATTTTCATTACGGATTCCCTTTTCAATCATGATTTGATTTGTGTAGTTTCAGTTTTCGTGAATTGTTTGCAATGACACATTTTTTCCTCACAGACCATCTAAGGAAGATCAACCAGTGTCATTTCGCACTGCAACTGCAAAGGTATATCTATAGCTATCCATTAGTGTCCTTTGTTGGTTAAAAGGTTTACCTTTTTTGTTAATGATACCACCTTTTGTGTTTCAGTCAGTGTATCAATGGATCGTCAAGCCCCAAACTGTTATGAAGACAAATGAAATGTTCCTTCCTGGGCGGATGGCTTTCATCTTTAACATGGTAAGTTTCTTTGTTTCTCTGTGTTTATATCCCTAATGGAATTTCTTGACTATCGGGTTCTTCTTCACTCGCACTTTGCTTTCTCCTTCCCTTCCTCTAACAACTCTTCCAAAGATCGAATCTTGTTATATGATTTTCCAGTCTGCAAAAAACCACTTGGTGTGGTAAGACCCTTAGAAGCAGAGGCACTGCACCATTTTTTTTTTTGTTGTAATTCTGTTTAATTTGTAGTTTACGAGTAGATTTTAGTGCTGCCTAATTGTTGCCAAGTAGGCATGCATCCCTTCCATGTGGCTAAGGAATGCAGCATCAGATAAACTATAGGCCCCCTTTTTCCCACCCTTTTAAACGTTTTTATTTTGTTGTTTGAGCATTCATTTTTTTTTTTGGTTGTTATATCTCAATTGTTATCATGCAAGGGTGTCTAAAACCTGGGTTCATAATTGTTTGTGCATATATGATTACAAATATCTAGTCTGGATGTCTGGGGTCTGTGCTGTGATTTTGGTTTGTTACTATCTCTACTGTTTGAAAATCCATCCTGAACTGTAAGATTCTTTTCAGGCAGCACTTTAGGAAATTTGTCTAACAAAAGTTCTACATTATGCATGCCAGGAGGGTGGGTTTTCCCACGACATCCCTACCACTCTGCACCGAAGTAAAGCTGACTGCCCAGTTCCTGAGGTTTTTTCTCACTCTTTTATTCTTCTAATTTTGTCTTCCTTGGTGTTATACTGTTATATGATTTACTATCCTTGTTTATGGGACAGGAAATGGTCACTGTCAGTGTTGATGGTTCTGTTCTAGATCGAATTGCCAAAATTATGTCATATCTTCGCCTTGGATCATCTGGGAAGGTTCTCAAAAAAAAGAAGAAAGAAAAAGATGGGAGANTTTTTTTTTTTTGGTATCATTATGTGATTAAAATTATGAATTATGCATATTGCTCTACATATTCACTTCCATATCCGAAGCATATTCTTGGATGCTAATATCCATAACGAATTCGAAAGTAAAGAATTTTTTTTTATCAATTATTGGATAAGTACATTGCGTATCCAATGCATATTCTCGAATAACTGACAAGGATCATATCGGAATGCAGATAGTTCAACCGAAATGACATATCCATGCTTTTCATAGCTTTTGATATTTGACCGAGAAATGGAAATAATAATTAGTGGGTGTTTCTCTCCATTAAGCTCTAAACCTTCTCCTTGGTTTTTGGCTTGATTTTTGTAATTCAGGTGATGTTGAACACACACATTTGGTTAAGGGCCTGGATTATGCTTTGCTTCACAAAGTGAGAAGTGAAATAGACAAGAAGCCAGATGTTGGAGAAGATGTTGATGGAAAGTCTAGGCAAGTGAATTGTTACCATTTAATACTAGGGGGACCTTCTCTTTAATCTTTGTGTGGTATTTTGTAGCTCACTAATGTTTAGTTTAAAAATGTTATCTTTTGCTTTTGTCTGGTTGAATTTTCTGAAATGTCGTGATGCTTGTTCTTTCTAAGTTAGATTGTTACAAGCCTTTGGATTTTGTGATCGGATGTTTTGTTAAAATGGTTTCTTTTGCATATGTATTGTTGAATTTTCTGAAATCTTCTGATACTTTTTCTTTCTAAGTTAAATTGTTATGGGAAATAAAACTCCACCTAGGAGGAAAAAAATGCTAATATATTGTGAGGAGGCATATGGTTTGGAAACCCAATAAGCTCCTTAAAGATACTGAGAGAGAGTAGGGGACTTGCACCCCTGCCCCAGGGAGGGGGGTGTTTGAGACTAAATAAGTTAAACCAGGATGTACTTTGGCTCTTTGCTAGATATTTAGCCATAGGACCTATATAGTGGACCAAGCTGAAGAACTAGACAGAGTTGAACATGAAGAATATCTTCTTCTGAAAAATTAGAATTGTTTGGGGAATAATGTTCACTTCCCTATTGCTATCCCATTTAATTGCATTTTTACGACGACTTCCTTTAAAGCGAATGTGCACAGCCGTCTACATAATACTTGGTTTGGTGGAACACCGAAAATAAATCCCAGACTTCTGTAAATGATTATTTTGTTGAAATCATGGAACTTCTATCTTTTCGCATTTTGTGAGGCAGATTTTGGGTAGAACTAGAGGAATGCTGCAAATGATGGTGCTTTCTCCCCTTATACTACCTCAATTAATTGGGCTAGTAGTTAGAATGCGCTTATTTTCATTACGGATTCCCTTTTCAATCATGATTTGATTTGTGTAGTTTCAGTTTTCGTGAATTGTTTGCAATGACACATTTTTTCCTCACAGACCATCTAAGGAAGATCAACCAGTGTCATTTCGCACTGCAACTGCAAAGGTATATCTATAGCTATCCATTAGTGTCCTTTGTTGGTTAAAAGGTTTACCTTTTTTGTTAATGATACCACCTTTTGTGTTTCAGTCAGTGTATCAATGGATCGTCAAGCCCCAAACTGTTATGAAGACAAATGAAATGTTCCTTCCTGGGCGGATGGCTTTCATCTTTAACATGGTAAGTTTCTTTGTTTCTCTGTGTTTATATCCCTAATGGAATTTCTTGACTATCGGGTTCTTCTTCACTCGCACTTTGCTTTCTCCTTCCCTTCCTCTAACAACTCTTCCAAAGATCGAATCTTGTTATATGATTTTCCAGTCTGCAAAAAACCACTTGGTGTGGTAAGACCCTTAGAAGCAGAGGCACTGCACCATTTTTTTTTTTGTTGTAATTCTGTTTAATTTGTAGTTTACGAGTAGATTTTAGTGCTGCCTAATTGTTGCCAAGTAGGCATGCATCCCTTCCATGTGGCTAAGGAATGCAGCATCAGATAAACTATAGGCCCCCTTTTTCCCACCCTTTTTTTATTTTGTTGTTTGAGCATTCATTTTTTTTTTTTGGTTGTTATATCTCAATTGTTATCATGCAAGGGTGTCTAAAACCTGGGTTCATAATTGTTTGTGCATATATGATTACAAATATCTAGTCTGGATGTCTGGGGTCTGTGCTGTGATTTTGGTTTGTTACTATCTCTACTGTTTGAAAATCCATCCTGAACTGTAAGATTCTTTTCAGGCAGCACTTTAGGAAATTTGTCTAACAAAAGTTCTACATTATGCATGCCAGGAGGGTGGGTTTTCCCACGACATCCCTACCACTCTGCACCGAAGTAAAGCTGACTGCCCAGTTCCTGAGGTTTTTTCTCACTCTTTTATTCTTCTAATTTTGTCTTCCTTGGTGTTATACTGTTATATGATTTACTATCCTTGTTTATGGGACAGGAAATGGTCACTGTCAGTGTTGATGGTTCTGTTCTAGATCGAATTGCCAAAATTATGTCATATCTTCGCCTTGGATCATCTGGGAAGGTTCTCAAAAAAAAGAAGAAAGAAAAAGATGGGAGAGGTATCTAAATTATCCATTTTCTTTCTAGAATTGCTTTTGTTGTGCATTATTTTCTGCCGTTGGTTTTTTTTTTGTGGTTCAGAATTGGGGATAAATTAAGTGCACATGTGGTACTGGTATAAGCTATTTGGATCTGTTAGAACTTTGAAAAGCGTCTCAGCTCCCTTGTACTATAGTGCCCACAATGGCATACCATTTGGTGCTGTGTTGGAACAGGTATTTGGGATAAAACACCTTGGTTCAGCACAATACATGTGTGTTTCGCAACTGTTGTTCATTAAATCCTACCCAAATGGGAAATTCAGAGATGAGTAGATTGTTTTTCCCCATTGTAAAGTGCTGTGCTGAAAAATATGCCATGCGTTGTCCCAGGTAGTAAAACCCAGGTCTTGATCCAGTAAAGGCGATCTTTTTCCAACTGGGACAACCCATAGTATACTTTTTGAAAAAAAGGTAATGTACTCAAAAGGACTAATGTCAGATTTTGCTTGGTACCTGGGATGAATTATAATGCAATGCTGACATGAGTTCAGAATTTAATCCAATGATGTGGTGATCTTAGGGGCAGGACTCCAGCATTACACTGCAGTTGCACCGTTGATGTTTTTGATGTTCCGTATGTGTGTTTCCATTCAGTTAATTTTAAGTTGTTTTTGTAATCAAGGTGTTTCTTTTATTTTTTTCCTCCTGATTTAGGTTTATCTGTTTGTCACCCTTGCTATCTCCAGTTTCATTTGTGTAATGCAAATTACATATTTAATCATACAGGAAAGTTAACTGATGTTCCCAATGTATATGATGAAGATGAGAAGGTGTCAAAACCTGATGTGTTGAAGAACCAAACTGATAGAGAAACACTCCCACCGCCTCCACCACCACTCAAGAAAAATCATCCTAATTCAAGAGAGAAACGGGCCCCTGTTCTTGCTAGAGTTGAAGAGGATGATATCTTTGTGGGGGATGGCGTTGACTACGCTATTCCCAGTGCAGATATGAACCAAAGTCCTATTTCGGAAGACATGGAAGAATCTCCTCGAAATAAGGAAAGGACCTCCTACTTTAATGAACCTGCTTATGGTCCGGTCCCACCATCTGAGCCTTCTCATGATTGGCAACAAATGGTGAGTTAATTTGAAAATTGTCGAGAAATGGTCTCATATTTTTGAAAACAAAAAATTCTTTGATTATACTTCTCTGGAAGAAAAAATTCTTTATGACATGTAACATGCCCTTTTTTGTTTGACTTGGAAACTATTCATACTTCTAATTTGGTGTTTTCTTTGACTTTTATTTTNGGTGAGTTAATTTGAAAATTGTCGAGAAATGGTCTCATATTTTTGAAAACAAAAAATTCTTTGATTATACTTCTCTGGAAGAAAAAATTCTTTATGACATGTAACATGCCCTTTTTTGTTTGACTTGGAAACTATTCATACTTCTAATTTGGTGTTTTCTTTGACTTTTTCAGAATGGATATGATGCTCTGCATATACAATCACTGGCTGGTGGGTATCAGGGAGAGTGGCAGGACTATCAATATGCTGACCAACTAGCTTATCCTGAGCAATACCTCCAGCAAAACCTTCAGACTTACGAGGTACAAGCAGATTTGAACATTCCACAGGACGCACGTTTCATGACTCAAGAAGAGAAGGATCGGGGTTTGGGGTCAGTGTTCAAGCGGGATGATCAGAGGCTTCAGCAACTAAGGGAGAAAGATTCTCGGGAAAAGGATCCCAATTTTATATCTGAGAGTTATTCTGAATGCTATCCTGGTTACCAAGAGTATAACCGTGAGATTGTGGACAGTGACGACGAAAATGATTTGTCAAAAATGGATATGGGTGGACGGGTAAGTGTCTTTCCTCTGGTCCTTACTGGTGAAACAAATTTTTCCATAGCTGACTTAGGTAGTGGGGATAAGGTTTGGTAAGTACTTGATGATTCTATGAAAATGATTCCCCACCCATTCTATTTTCAGTTTTTCTATTTTGTTATTCCTTTTTGGAACAATTCTAAATAGGATGACAAGCTATAGATTCATACAACCGTTGCGGCAACTGTTATTTAAATGGATGTCATACAGTTCTTTTTTCTGGTGGGAATAATATTTTTGTACTAACATATACAAATGCCTCAACAGGCAAAGGGTCGCCTTCATCGGTGGGACTTCGAAACAGAAGAGGAATGGGCAACATACAATGAGCAGAAGGAAGCAATGCCAAAAGCTGCCTTCCAGTTTGGTGTGAAGATGCAAGATGGTCGGAAGACACGAAAGCAAAACAAAGACCAGAAGCTTACTAATGAGCTGCACAAGATTAACAAGATACTTGCCAGGAAGAAGATGGAGAAGGGGGACATAGATGATGATGGCGGTCAGTATGATGATGATTCACATCCTGGAAAGAAACTTCGAATATGAAGATTGGGAAGTTTGTTGACGTTATCATGTGTTTCATTTTATCGGGAATTTTCCATCCTGTATGTTACAAGTTGGTGATGTTCTATATTTTGAAGTGGAATTAATGTCAAAGTCTTTTATCTATATCACTTGCCGGAAACATCATGAAAAGTCTATGATCTTCTTTGTTACGGTACTAACATGGGTGCGTCCCGCTCAAAGGCTGTTTAGAGATATTTGAGGTCCATGTGTGGCAGTGTTTGGCGTTCTTATTTCCTCCCTGACCCCATTTCCTCCGTTTTTCTCGGTGTAATTAAAGAAAGAAGGGGCTTCTGCCTAAAATTTATTTAATTTGTTTGCTACAGCCCCTTACAATAATGTTTTACTTCCTGCAAAGAGGAAATTTTTTACTGTCGAAAAACCTTAGAAAACAAAAGGATATGCTTGTGCTTGTGTGTTTAGCAAGATCTGTGAAACGGAAATGGGGGCACATGTGCCATCTCTGCTCTGTGCTTTCGTTTTTTTCGGGTTTTGTTGTTGCTGTTGTTTGGGAAGCTCAAATCGCAAACAGGTACCTGGTGATTATCATCTACGTGGTACACCATTAAATTGAATATTATTTCCATGTTCAGGGGGTTTTACTTGTGGAGATCTCATGACAAGGTTTTGCTGACAAAAGCTAAGATTGAGGTCCTGAAAGGATGAAATGCGGAGAGAAAGGATAAAAGATTGATAGGCTGTGTGGCTAAAAACATTGTTTCGATGACATTATGAATTTTTTTTTTTTTTTTTTGATCAGGGNTTGTGGAGATCTCATGACAAGGTTTTGCTGACAAAAGCTAAGATTGAGGTCCTGAAAGGATGAAATGCGGAGAGAAAGGATAAAAGATTGATAGGCTGTGTGGCTAAAAACATTGTTTCGATGACATTATGAATTTTTTTTTTTTTTTGACATTATGAAGTTCAATGTGATCATTTGTGAGATGGCACACTCTTATGCAAGATAGATGTGGTCAAAGAGAAGAGAAAAAATGGCAAATAATTTATATTTATATAACAATTACTAATGAATTTTTAAAGAAATATTCTTGAAATTTAAAACTTTCTGAAGAGTTAAATCTTGGTAAGTTTTTATTTGTCATATCTAAAAGGAAGGAATAGGATTTGATAGTATAGATACCGTACCATATTAAAAATAAAAAAATAAATGTTCAGATATTTCTTTTTATTATAAATATCAATGGAGTAGTTGTCAATTCGTATGTCTAGGCGTTTCTTCGAAATTGGGTCAAATAGCTAAATCTAACCCGCTAAACGTGGAGCTATCTGTCTGTATAAGGAATCGTTCTGACGTCTTCTTCGGTGAATAACGCGAAAAACGAAAACCAGAGTTTTGTCTGACAAATTCGGCAATTCGAAACTGGTAAAAGTGGCAATTCAGCTATCTGCTAATCTTTCATTTACTCTCGATTTTATAGTTTTGAGCTTGTTTTTCAGTTTAACTATTCTTATGTCGTGCGTGCCTGTGTGGAGATAACCCTATCTGAACTTAATGGTNCCAGAGTTTTGTCTGACAAATTCGGCAATTCGAAACTGGTAAAAGTGGCAATTCAGTTATCTGCTAATCTTTCATTTACTCTCGATTTGGTAGTTTTGAGCTTGTTTTTCAGTTTAACTATTCTTATGTCGTGCGTGCCTGTGTGGAGATAACCCTATCTGAACTTAATGGTCGAAATCCTAAGAAGCATTCAACTGCGTCATCAATTCAATACATGTTTTTGATGATGATAGTTCAAGGAGACTTCATAAGATTTAATGTGTTTTCATATTTCATTGTATGCGTTCATTGATATATCGTTTGTTGCTTCTGTCCGATTCTTTCTCTTTATTTCCTTAGTTTTTTTTCAGGACTTTGCTTTTCGTTTTTTTTTTTTCTTTTAGATTAGAAAATACATGTGGTCGTGTTCATTGAATGTGGTAATTGTAGTATCCTTTCGTTTTTTGTACATGTAGTATATGTATGTCAAACGCTCTGGAGTCTGGATATCAATTCTTATCAGGTGAGCCTGCCCCATTGTGTATATGAATTTATCTGCTTTTAACCTGTGTGGGATTCTATGATAATATAACTTAATCTTTTTTCACCAGTTTTGTGTAGCCAGCTAGCCACCAATGTCTTGAATCTTGCCCCAAGAATTCTTCTTCTGAGCTTGAAGCTTTTAAAAATTTGTTACTTCTTACTGATCACTGATCTGTAATTAAGTATCACTAATTTACTTAAGGCACCATCTAGCTCTCACCTGTTTTGTATAGTCAGCTAGCCACCAATGTCTTGAATCTTGTCCACCTAGAATATTCTTTTAGGCTTGACCAGTGGTCTGTAATTGGCTACAACTGATTTACTTGAGGTACTTATGGGTTCCACTTCTAATTGGCCCTGTATTTCCCTACTTGAAGAAACAATGGTCCGGAATAATTGCGAGAATCATGTAAGGAGTTATTTTTATTTTCTCATAGTGGATCAAGGAACTTAAACATGTCATTGCATTTCATTATGATTACTTTTAAGTCTATCTCAGTTCAGCCGATTGGAATATTTGTCANGAGAATCATGTAAGGAGTTATTTTTATTTTCTCATAGTGGATCAAGGAACTTAAACCATGTCATTGCATTTCATTATGATTACTTTTAAGTCTATCTCAGTTCAGCCGATTGGAATATTTGTAAATTTTGTCAATTTTTCATACTAATATTCCAAAGGGCAGAACTGAGATACTAGTTGACTATTTTGTTGATACTTGATTTTCATTTCAATTAGGTTCTTCCTTCTAGGTGTATGCAAGCTCAACCACTTATTTTATAAAGACAGTCATCCATCATCAGGATTAAGTATGTCTGTTCATATTTATGGAAATATCCATGCACCATACTTTCCCCAGCGTCTCCCCGACTTCAACTCAATTGAGCCTTGTCCCAACCATTTGGAGTCCGCTGCATGAAATTTGTTATGCTATTATACTCTATCAAATGCCATATTTTAATATAATTCAGACCATTTTACTATCTCATTCAAAGAAAATTTTAGTTTACCTCTACTTCTTACATTACCATTGATTGGTGTAGCAACACTCTTCCTCGCTAGTGCTGTAATAGTCTTTCAGTAAACCCTGCCCAAACTATCCAAGTTTTCTCTTTTAAAAATGCTATATGTTGATCAAGTTTTGTTTAAAGCAGAATGTTACTGCACCATTTAAATGAGAACCGTAGGACAAATTGATACCTCAAATGGTGTCCTTTGAATTTTTTGAAGTTTTATTAATGAGTTGGTCATTGTTTTATAATGCAGTGTAATTTTGTCTTGATTTCATGTCATTGGTTGCATGCAGTATAATTCATGGCAACTTCTGAAGGAAGAGCTTCATTCGCTTCAATTGCCAATCTAGAAAGAGAAAATAGAAAATTTCACTACAATGATGACTACAGTGATTCTGTCTGGGCTGTGTCTGAAGGTCAGAGTGCCTGTACATCAGCCCCGATATCCGTGAAGCAAGAGTTTCCCCTCAAGTATCCCCTTGAATCTGAGGATTTTCTTGATGAAGGATATGATTCAAGTGAAGATCCTTCTAATTATGTGCAAAAAAATACGACTCCTGAAGTGAATTTAAAAAATGTGTTGACTGGGATAATTGCCATTTTGACTGGACGTAATAAAGATTTAAGTTCCAGTGGAGGTCAGCAATTTTCCGGTTCAAATGTTTCCTTTCTTGGGTCTGCAAAGAATGGGGATACTTTCTTGCATTCCTCAGTTTACATACCTAGTGCTCCGCCACTTCTTGAGCCGAATGGGATTAACTATAGTGCTTACAAAGAGGTCTTGGAAGCTGAACCCCCAGAATGGCTTCCCGACAGTTGTACGGCAGCTTGCATGCAGTGCACTGCTCCCTTCACAGCCCTTACTCGTGGCAGACATCATTGTAGGTTTTGTGGAGGGGTTTTTTGTAGGGCATGTTCAAAGGGGAGATGCCTATTACCTGTTAAGTTCAGAGAGAGGAATCCACAACGAGTGTGCGATACCTGCTATGATAGGCTCGATCCCTTGCAAGGTGTACTCATCAACACCATCAGCAATGCTGTGCAAGTTGCAAAGCATGATGTCATTGATTGGACATGCACAAGAGGTTGGCTAAACCTTCCAGTGGGTTTATCCATGGAGCATGAGATATACAAATCATGTGTTACGTTGAGGAGTTATTGCCAGGTGCTATTCCTATTCTCTATTAATCTCTCTAAAACCAAAATCAGCTTCCTGCTTTTCTTAAGGTTGTTTTCATAAAAATGAACTTAATAATGTGTAGGCCTTGTATTCAATTTCAATCTGACACACACACACACACACACACACACACACACAAAGAGAGAGATAGTCACATAGACAAAAAGAAAAAATGCATGTTCGCATACATGATTGTTGACCTGCAGAAATGGCAATATAAGTCAGTTGATTTACAATTAGCAGTCACACATCATAGGCCTTTTTTTTTTGATAACATTGGAAGGGGATTTATGTTAACTATAACGCTTAAGTTGTTTGTGTGTCTTTTCTATTTGTAACGCCCAGTTTCTTGGATGCGTTACTCGATAAATTCATTGACACAATTTCACAAATTGACCACAATATATTTCAAAATATAGGGTCAGAGCTTTAATTACCTCAATAAAAATTATAATCACCACAAGGCTTGAGCTATAATTACCACAAAAATAATAAAAAAACCTCTAAAATATACAAATGGATCTCCTCAAATAATATATTGTAATAATAAAATCAAATGTTATAAATTTGTAATTGTTTGATATTTCAACTCTGGTCCTTCCCTTCGAGATCATCTTAAAAAATATTAAAAGTGGAGAAATATACAATACAANTTACCTCAATAAAAATTATAATCACCACAAGGCTTGAGCTATAATTACCACAAAAATAATAAAAAAACCTCTAAAATATACAAATGGATCTCCTCAAATAATATATTGTAATAATAAAATCAAATGTTATAAATTTGTAATTGTTTGATATTTCAACTCTGGTCCTTCCCTTTGAGATCATCTTAAAAAATATTAAAAGTGGAGAAATATACAATACAACAAGGAAAAAAATATGCTCAACAATAAAAATACGAATGGTCAAATATCAAATAACTCAATCGATAGACATTCATGAACAACGAAATTAGGAATCAAATTCGACAGGTCACATAGTTCAACTACGCTCAAACATAACATTATACTTGGTTATCTTAGTGATATGACGAGTGACACTTGAGTATATAAATCCATATTCATGTCCAATAATCACATCCGGAGGGGCCATAATTAAACCAAATAATCAAACGTTGTAGGACTATAATCATATTTGACAAACTATGCTTCAAACACACTTTGTATATGTACTAATCAATCCTAAATTATTTAGCCCAAAATATAGTTCAGATCAACAAAACACATTGGATTCAATAGTGAATACGAATACGAATTTGAAGATAAATAATAGAACAGTCTTTGCAAAGAGATATAAAGACAGAAGTATATTGTATATTACGCCGTACCTCAGAATCATTTTAGATCATTATAAAAAAAACCAAAACAAATGTGGACAAGTAGTCAAACATACAAAAATAAATCCAGACTGTTGTAAACAAAGTAACAGTGAACATTCTACAAGGCACACAATGCCTTCCAACTAAACTTAATACAAAAGAGGGAAACAAATTTAAATTCCTTAGACATTGAAGTCCAAAAAGATGTCAAAAAATAAATTATATCTCGTTAACTCGCAAACTCTTCATTTTATTCTAAAAAATCCTCGCATTCCTTTCCTACCAAATCACCCATAGTGTAGCAAAGAACACACTATGTCAAATGGTCTTCCGTTTACAAACCTTCAAACCTCACATTTTCCATGCAAAATATCGAAACCATAGTCTTTGGAGCAACCCAAGAAAAGACCACAAAGTCAAAAAACTTGTTCCATAGTGCTAATGGGCAATGAAAAAAAAGGTGATCGACATTCTCATTATCACATCTACACATGACACACCATTGCGGTTGAAGGCAATGAATTGGTCTCCTCTTTTGAAGAACATCAATAGTATTAATCTTCTCATTCGAAGTAACCCATGCACAAAACTGCACCTTTAAAGGCACTTTTACCTTTCAAATCTTCAATGATGGATCAAACAAAGGAATCAAGGGATTATCAATTAAAGAATAAAAAAAGGAATTGGAAGAAAAGACCTGAGTAGTGTTACTAATTCAATACCTCCTATCCTCAAAATTTTGAACCAAAGAAACATTATTAAGCAAAGGGAGGAGAGTCATCAACTCTGAACACTCCCCTATCATTGAGATTTCTACAAAAATTAAAATCTCACGAAATCAGATTAAAATATGACTCAGCCATAAANGGGAGGAGAGTCATCAACTCTGAACACTCCCCTATCATTGAGATTTCTACAAAAATCAAAATCCCACGAAATCAGATTAAAATATGACTCAGCCATAGATGTAATCAATTGGTTATGATAACGAGAGACACAATACAATCATGGAAAGAGAGTAGAAAAGGAAGACTCCCCAACCCATACATCCTCCTAAAAAACGCATTTTTAGTACCATCACTCTCAATAAACTTGAATCTCGGAGAAAAGGAAGGGAAATCCTGAGAAATAAACCTTCACGGATTTCAGAAAGTGCCCTTTTCGACTCCATTAGCGTCCCACCGGTTAGTCTGTAATCTATACATACTCCTAATAATGACATGCCACAATGAATTTTACTCCAAAGGAACCTCTCCACAGTCATTTCCCAACTAAAGCTATATTCCTATTCACCAAGTTTCCAATTGAAAGTTCTCCCTTATCTTTTGATCTAGTTACCACTTTCCAACGAATTAGATGATCCTTCTTCCCTTCTTTTACTCATTCCCACAAAAAATCCCTCATTAAACCTTCAATTTTTTTAGTCACCACTCCTTACATTTTAAAAATAGGCATAAAGTAAATGGGAATGTTAGACAAAACATACTGAATTAATGTTAATCTACCCCCTAGAAATAAAAGTTTTCTTCCATCTATCTAATCTCATTCCAATTTTCTAAACAACAGGATCCCAAAAGGTTCTTGACAAAGGGTTACCTTATAAGGGGAGTCCTAAATATTTAAGTGGCCACTCACTCACCAAACATCCTAGCTTTATAGCCATTCTATTCACCTTTTCCTTACTAGAATAATTCCCATAATAATGTTTTTTTTTCCATATTAATCTTGAGCCTTGAAATAATGCCAAACACATCAATAATTAACTTTAAATTACTCAATTTCTGCTCATCCTCCAAAGAAAAGAGTNGAATAATTCCCATAATAATGTTTTTTTTTCCATATTAATCTTGAGCCTTGAAATAACGCCAAACACATCAATAATTAACTTTAAATTACTCAATTTCTGCTCATCCTCCAAAGAAAAGAATATAGTGTCATTTGCAAATTGTAAATAAGAAACTTTAATTCTTTCTCAACCTATAACAAATCCGTCAACCAAATTATCTCTCTGCCTTCTTCATCAACCTACTCAACCCATCCACCATTGAAGTGAACAAAAAAAATGATACAAGATCCCCCTATCTATGCCCCCCATATGCCTTAAATCTACCCTTTGGCTTCCCATTCATTATGACCGAAAAATTTATCGACTCCAAACAATCCCTCATTCACTTTCCTCCATCTTTCTCCAAATCCTTTTGCTTCCAACACAAAATCCAAAAAACTCCAATCCAAATGATTATATGCTTTCTCAAAGTCAATTTTAAAGACAAAACCTTCCTTTCCTTTACTCCTAGACTCCTTAACAACCTCATTAGGTACAAGTATTACATCCATATCCATTATTTGTCTTCCCCTCACCAAAGCTCATTTGACAATTTTTAGATCCTTAGAATCATCAATAATTTTGATAGATTTAAGATTTCAAAGTATCACGAACAAGATACTCAAATTTGGTAGCGATATGAAGTAAAATTACAGGTCAATTTGTGACCCCAAAAGCTCATAAGTTTTTACTTCTATTTTTTTCTCTCTCGCTTTCTCTCCCTTCCTCTCTCACTTTCTCACTTTCTTCCTTCCTCTGTTTTTCGCTTACCGGAAGCAACCTATTTATAGCCAAGCATTTGCTTAGCCAACTGCTCACATCACTTTTGTTTTTGTCATTTGACTTGCATTATGTTGTACATTTGTGCATGCTTTGGTTCACTTTTTTTTTTCTTGTTTTTTTTACTCTTGTCATTTTTTTATCTTATTTCTTTTTCTCAATGACACGTCCTATATATATATAGATGTGACACATACTTTTGCATTTTATTATACAATTTGGACACTTTAGATATTTAATATAGTATTTTATTCTAACATGAAATATGACCTATATGATAGTCATTTGACTTGTTTTCACACAAGGAATCCGTATTTGAGGTTCATTTATTTATTTGAAGTTTCTAAAAATAACTCTTGATATTATAGAGTAATAATTAACGCTCTAATTAACAAGTTAACGATTAACTTTTGTACGGGTCGTCACACAATTTTTTGTGGTACGTTGTGAATTCATTGGTTTTTACCTCCCAAAATTAATCCTAATCTAGGTAAACTAGATCCTGTAAATTCTAACATCTCCAGTACAAAATGATTCCTCAACTGCACAGGTTACCCGGTTGAACCCTGAGAGGTCCATACCCATTGCAGTTCTGAAAAGGGCCAAAGGTTTGGCAATTTTAACGGTTGCAAAAGCTGGGGCGCTCGTTGCTTACAAACTTGGGACTGGTTTGGTTGTTGCTCGAAGGTCTGATGGATCATNCATACCCATTGCAGTTCTGAAAAGGGCCAAAGGTTTGGCAATTTTAACGGTTGCAAAAGCTGGGGCGCTCATTGCTTACAAACTTGGGACTGGTTTGGTTGTTGCTCGAAGGTCTGATGGATCGTGGTCTGCACCATCTGCCATACTTTCTGTTGGATTAGGATGGGGTGCTCAGGTAGCCTTACTATTGTTTCAAATGTTGGTATCCATATAATTTCATTTGATATTGCTGCATTTTTTATGATTTCTTTTAAAGAACTAATTCAAATTTTGTTAGTTTCAGGTCACTAAGAAAAAAAGTTACACTAAAAAGAATGCATGAATATTGAGTAAATTGTGGAGGATGAGTGGATAGACTCCATTCTTCTATGAACTAAATTTAATAGTTATTAGTTCACTTACAATTTATTACTCATTCGATCTAACTTAAAGTTTACTTATCACACAGAACCAAAAAATTTGCATTTTATATATCATTCTTCCTCTTATTCTACTAATAAATATTCATAGCACTCTGCAAAGTCCTGACTTGACAATTCCCCTACACTAACTAAAGCTATACTGNACAGAACCAAAAAATTTGCATTTTATATATCATTCTTCCTCTTATTCTACTAATAAGTATTCATAGCACTCTGCAAAGTCCTGACTTGACAATTCCCCTACACTAACTAAAGCTATACTGTCAATGAACGAGATGTGGCATGCTGGCCTCTTTTCATACATCACCAACACAAAAGAGTGTTAAATTGTTGACATTTGACGTAAGTTCAATGTAATTGGAAAGTCATTCCTCTTTGTTGCATCTCTGGCCTCTTTTCATTCATCACCAATGCAAAAGAATGTTAAGTTGTTGACATTTGACCTAAGTTCAATGTAATTGGAAAGTCATTCCTCTTTGTTTCTATTATTTTCACAATTGTCCTTGAGCACATGGATCTATCTTTTAACATAACTAATCTTCCTAAAGCCCACCTCGTTATGTATTAACATAATTTTGTAGATGCTTTGTTCTGAGTCAATAGAAAATGTATGGAACTNTTTGACCTAAGTTCAATGTAATTGGAAAGTCATTCCTCTTTGTTTCTATTATTTTCACAATCGTCCTTGAGCACATGGATCTATCTTTTAACATAACTAATCTTCCTAAAGCCCACCTCGTTATGTATTAACATAATTTTGTAGATGCTTTGTTCTGAGTCAATAGAAAATGTATGGAACTGTTCTATTTCTCTAGTCATCCTAAAGCCCACCTCGTTATGTATTAACATAACTTTGTAGATGCTTTGTTCTGAGTCAATAGAAAATGTATGGAAGTGTTCTATTTCTCTAGTCATCGCCAAGTTACCCCTCTCTATGGTTTTTGTATGAATTATAACGTTGGTGCTGGCTTTATTGTTGTAGCTCTTGCAGAAATGTATTTTTAATATCTTGGTTTTGATTTTTTCTATAGTCCTCGTTTTTTTTAATAGTATTCTGAAGGTTGAAGTCTGAACAGGTCAGTCAACCTAATTACGCGGTCATCACCCGGTCACTTTGACACCTTAAGTTCACTTATGTTTCAGGCACGTGTGAGTCAAGCCTTAGCATTTGTGCCACAATCCTTTTACAATTCCTTGTACTCCATTATGCTCTTGTATTATACTCTCTTTTAACTCAGATTTATTGTGGTAGATTGTGTCCAGAAAAACCCATCTACCCTGCCTTATGTATGTTGTTCTTGTCATCATTCACATTAATGTTCAAGGGTTTGCGTCATGTTGACCTGGAATAGAAGAGTTGATTGATTTGTTCACCTCCTTCAAATTACAAATGCTCAATTGTATAACTGAATTACTTGTTTCCTGTCAGTATGATGATTTTGTTATCTCCCTTCATAGGTTGGGGGTGAGCTTATGGACTTCATAATTGTACTTCATGATTCTAAAGCTGTGAAGACATTTTGTAGTCGCATGCATTTTTCTCTTGGGGCTGGTTGCAGTGCTGCAGCAGGGCCAATTGGGAGAGTGCTGGAAGCAGATGTTCGAGCGGGGGACAGAGGTTCTGGGATGTGCTATACGTACAGTTGTAGCAAAGGTATTGTGTTTAGTGAACGATTTTGTCAGCCCATCCAAGAATTGCAGTTGTATGAATTATTTGGGCTGTCAATTTGTATTCTGTGACACAGGGTCTGTGGATCGGAAGTATTAGGCCAATTTGGTTCTAGCCGTTTTGGGTAGGTTGCAAACTGCAAATCGCAATTCAAATCCCTGGGATTTGGATGATTTGAGAATTGTTTAAATGCATGATAGATGCATTATATTTATCAATTTGACAAGCTAAGTTTCAGTGATCCTATATCTATCCTTGGGCTTGTGTTCCACTTATATGATGACTTCCACGTGACTCTTAAGTTTGATGATTTGAAGGGAGTTGAGTAATTGGATGCCAAGTGTTTGAGTCAGAATAAAGAATAATTTCTAACCTTCTGAAAAAAAAAAGAAGAACTTTTAACACTTTTCATACAGAAATTTCTTTTAGATGCTTCTATTATCGTATTGGACTTTATCATTTATGACATTATTCTATCCAGTAGTTTTTTGTAGTTTTTATTTTGTTAGTTTTTTTGTGGGGTTGGATATTTTTGTGAAAAGGCTTTATGTGTAGGCTATTTGGTAATACTGCATTCTATTCTGTGATTGTATGGTTTAGGTTCTTGTTCTATGACTTCAAAGGCTTGTCTGAATTTCAAATTCTCAATTAGTCCACATTTTACGTAATCTAACCACACCCACTCCGCCCATAAAAGAACAATTTTATGCCGATTTATCCATTATTCAAAACTAGAAATTCAGTTAACTAGGTTATCCCATGTTTTCTTTCAGTAGATGATACCTGATGCTGCAACATTAATATTCAACCTTCAAATTTATTTCGTCAGTTTTTTCACAGGGGGTGAAAAGTTTTTCTGTAAGGTATCCAATTTATTCTTTTCAATATTGTGTGATCAGGTGACCAATTAGGATAAGAAAGCATATCTTGAAAATGGTGTTATTTCCGGATCCCAGGGCTTTTGGAAATCATTCCTTGTTAGCCTGCCAAGGACGTGCCTCATAGAAAAGTGTTGTACTCTGTGAATAACTGTTTGTGTAAGTAGCTGACATGTGTTTATGTATGGCTCAGGTGCATTTGTAGGAGTTTCACTGGAAGGGAACATTGTAGCAACAAGGATGGACACTAATCTATGCTTCTATGGTGATGCATATCTCACCACAGGTGACATCCTTCTCGGGGCGGTGGACAGACCAAAGGCTGCTGAGCCCTTGTATGCTGCCCTTGAGGACCTTTACTCCAAACTTGGGTGTTAGTCCCTAGTTTCCGTGGCATTGAAGTTCTCTCAGCCACTGTTGAAGTTCCCTGCAATGAAAATGTGTGCGTGGATCTGTGTATCCTGGCACAAATCCTCCTCACTTGATCTGCAACTGTACAGTTGATGGTCCAGGGTGTTTGAATTGCATCCAGTACATATTGCTTGGGGGTTGAATTACATCCCTTCGTATCAAGACAATAGTGTATGTCTTCAAAGTTAGTTGCTTCTGCTCTAGTCAATGCGTGGATTTGCATTCGTTATGCCACTTGCTTATTCTAGTTGGGGTTTGTTACTTCCATTTGTATAGTTGTATATAGTAGAGAAATTAATTGTCGATAAATGACTCTCTGTATAGCATAGAAATTTATTGCGATACAAGACTCTTTATTGCTTTCAGTGATGTTATAACTCTGGCCATAAGAGGTGTTGGATTCTTTCTGAATTGCTGAAGATTTGCATTTAATCCTTTTTTACACTCACTTCCTTTGAAAATATTTGTAACTAGTCCCTTGCTATTTCAATGACTCGTACTCATGACGTTGGTGCCATGCCCCCAACTTTTGAAATTTAGATGAATTCAATTCTATTACAATTTTCATTGTGAAGCCTCACTTTGGCTATGTATGAAAGATCTTCTGGACAAAGAGTTAACAAAGGTAAAAGCTTTATGTATTTGCCATCTAAAGTCTCTGCTGGTAGGAGGAGAATGCTCTCTACTGTTGTGTCTATTCCATGGAAATCAGGTCCTATTCAATACTTGGGTTGTCCATTAATTAGAGGCAGATCTAGGAATATTTATTTTATGGGGCTCCTTCAAAAATTCGGATGTAGATTAGAAGGGTGGTATTCGAAGATTCTTTCTAATGCAGGTAGGTTGGTTTTGATAAAATCTGTGTTAAGCGCAATACCCACTCATCTGTTAGCATGTTTGAATTTGCCTAATGGGGGTAGTGAATAGGTTACGTTCTGTCATGGCTGCATTTGTGTGGTCGAGTAAAATCGATGTGATGAAAAGGCATTGGGTATCTTGGAGGACAGTAGCTTTACCGGTTGATGAAGGGGGTTTGGGAATTCGAAATTTCATGGATGTTGCGTCTACTTTTCGAATAAAACTAGTGTGGAGTTTATTAGAAGGGCATTATAAAGAGAGAGAGAGAGAGAGAGAACTACGGTGCAGACAATATAAAGAGAGAGTGTTCTAGTTGAGCCTCGGGAAAGAGAAGATCCAATAATTCGTGTTGGTGATTGTAGAGAGAGAGAGAGAGATGTATGAGCATGTGGAAGTTTCGCAGTTCGCAGGCTTTTTGCGGGTAACTGGATGAGAAATTCTTGTCCTTATTAAATTTTTTGTTTTTTGTAATTTGTGATATTTTTTGTGGGGGTTAATTTATTAAATTAAATGTTTCATGTTATTATTTTTTTTATTATGTTATTGTTCATGTTATTATTTTTATTGAATATGTTATTATTTATGTTACTATTATTTTGAGCATGTTACTGTTTTTGTTGAGTATGTTATTATTATTATTTTCCTAAATATTAATATTTAATGTTACTATTTTTTTTTTGAATATTACTAATTTTTGTGTTTGAATTGTATTATTTTTTGCGTTTAAATTTGAGAGAAATAATTATTGTTAAATATGTTATAGTTTTTGTTAAGTATGTTACTTTTTTTATTGAACATGGTAATATTTTTTTTTGAATATATAACTATTGTTATTTTTTAAAAATATTAATATTGAATGTTTCAATTTTTTTTTTATGTTTAAATGTTATTATTTTTTTATGTTTAAATGTATTATTTTTTGTGTCTAAATGATAATTTTTTTTTATATTTGAATATTAATATTTTTTATTTTTAATGTTACTATATGAGAGAGAAAATTTTAATATTAGTCAAACTCTTAATCTAAATATGGATATAGATAAACATGAGAGAAAAAAAATTTTAATGTTAGTCAAATTTCTAAAATTTATGAATTTTTAATTTTTAGTTTTATTTTACTTCTAAAAAGAATGAATAATATGATAAAATTGACAAAAATTAAAATTTATAACAAATAATTTTTTTTAACGGATTTAAGATCATATAAAAAGATCGAATTCCAAATTTTTCATTTTTAATTCTTTATCATATCAAGTCATATTCAAAAGGATTATGATTATTGAAACCTTACTGCAGACGGACTGACAAACAGGATAAATTCTCTTTGAATTGAATGGTGAGATTTCTCATTCATTCATACATACCCAATTCATTGTCAAATTTTAAAATTTAAGTACTATTACTCTACGCTGGGACTGGGAGGACCAGCTGCCAGCTGCTGGTGGGACAAAAATGTAGAAATTGGAGATCCAAACGTCACAAAATCCCCCCTTTTCCCCGAGGTGTTGCATAACGATTCTTCTACCCACCACAACTCAATGACCTACTCAATCAATCTGATGTCATCATCATAGACCACCGGGTGAACTCAGAAACACCGAAACCCTAATTTGCGTGAACAAGAACAAGATGGGTAGTGAGGCTTCACCGGTGGAGATTGTGAATATAGCGGATGACGACAACAACGGCGACGATGATGAAATATCACTACTATATGCAACACCCATCTCCGTCTCACTCAAAAAAGCAACCACCGCAAAAATTGCTATATCAGTTGAAGAGTACTCCGATGACAGAGACCTCAGGCTTGCTATCATGGCCTCTCTATCTCGATTACCAAAACCCAGTACCAGACCCAAAAGAGAAAGGATCATCGACCTTTCTCGAGATTACCCAAATGATGATGAAGTTGAAGTCCAGGTGTTAGATTCTTTCTCCCCACCATTTCCGAGAACCAGAAAGCCCTTTCGAGGCCGCCCTTACATTTCTGAACCAGGACAGTCTTCCAATTCCAAGCCTGACGATAAAGATATCACAATTCCACCCTTCGTGTGTGAAATCTGTACTGACCCAAAGCCTTATAGTGACTCCTTTTTCATACCGGGTTGTACCCACCGTTACTGTTCGGAGTGCATGGTGAAGTACGTGGGGTCAAAGCTAGAAGAAAACATATGTCAAATTCATTGCCCTGTTGCGGGATGTGAAGGGCTATTAGAGCCGGAGAATTGCCGTTCAATTTTGCCGCAACATGTGTTTGATTGGTGGGGCAAGGCGTTGTGTGAGGCGGTGATTTTAGCTTCGGAAAAGTTGTATTGTCCTCANATGGGTAGTGAGGCTTCACCGGTGGAGATTGTGAATATAGCGGATGACGACAACAACGGCGACGATGATGAAATATCACTACTATATGCAACACCCATCTCCGTCTCACTCAAAAAAGGAACCACCGCAAAAATTGCTATATCAGTTGAAGAGTACTCCGATGACAGAGACCTCAGGCTTGCTATCATGACCTCTCTATCTCGATTACCAAAACCCAGTACCAGTAGCAGTACCAGACCCAAAAGAGAAAGGATCATCGACCTTTCTCGAGATTACCCAAATGATGATGAAGTTGAAGTCCAGGTGTTAGATTCTTTCTCCCCACCATTTCCGAGAACCAGAAAGCCCTTTCGAGGCCGCCCTTACATTTCTGAACCAGGACAGTCTTCCAATTCCAAGCCTGACGATAAAGATATCACAATTCCACCCTTCGTGTGTGAAATCTGTACTGACCCAAAGCCTTATAGTGACTCCTTTTTCATACCGGGTTGTACCCACCGTTACTGTTCGGAGTGCATGGTGAAGTACGTGGGGTCAAAGCTAGAAGAAAACATATGTCAAATTCATTGCCCTGTTGCGGGATGTGAAGGGCTATTAGAGCCGGAGAATTGCCGTTCAATTTTGCCGCAACATGTGTTTGATTGGTGGGGCAAGGCGTTGTGTGAGGCGGTGATTTTAGCTTCGGAAAAGTTGTATTGTCCTCATAAGGATTGTTCGGCGCTATTGATTGATGAGAGAGGTGGAAATGGTGAGGTGATAACCCAGTCGGAGTGCCCCAGTTGCTGGAGGTTGTTTTGCGCGGAGTGTAAGGTTGAATGGCATTGGGGAATTGAATGCTCCGAGTTTCAGAAGTTGAACAAGGATGAGAGAGAAAAAGAGGATATTATGTTGATGAATCTTGCCAAGGCTAAGAAATGGATGAGGTGTCCTAAATGCAAGTTCTATGTTGACAAGTCTCAAGGTTGCTTGTTTATGAGATGCAGGTTTGTTATTTCTTTTTCCTCCTTGTGCTGCTGTTTTCTTTTTGTCATACTCTGTGTGTGTGTGT